CCGTAGATTCAAGAATTGATTTCAATCCAGCAAATCATTGCAAGTTTGTGGAAAGATTAAATTTATAAAAAAATAAACATATTTAAAATAACAACCTTGACTACCCTTGCAAATTTGTCCTTCCCTTCTGCAACTGTTGTACCACAGATGCGCCTCATATCTCCCAATCCATCTATGCCTAAAATAATTCTAAAGTGTTAGCTTTTTGTTAATTGTCTACTGCTATATCAGTATACCACAATCATGCCCAATACAATGGCGCTCCTAATAATCAGCGAGATCATCAAAGGCTTCAATGGGGTCGGCACAGGGGCAAGTATTTCGACAGGAAAAAAGAAGCCTAATGCAACTAATACTTTCCATGGACACCACTGGCTGATAAAAATATAGATTTGCAATTATTCAGGGACACCATGCGATACGGAAGAATTGCACAATTTATATAGTAGATAGCTGCATTATCAAATTATCTAGAAAAAATATTATATTCTTTGGTCAGGCAAGCCCATCTAACAGAATAAACAAGAATACAAGATGACTATATACTGTAGGAACAAATATATTCTTTGTGCAGCTACACCAAATTGGTATCATAAAAACGAATGACTATCAAAGTATGAACTGCAGGAACAAACATCTTTTAGCAAGGCCAATAAAAAATTCTAATGTATCTAGTAGCCTGCTTCCCTGGGGATGTACCTCTGGCATGCAAGTTGGCGTGATGCCTGGGGATGAGAGACACTGAGCAGGGGCGACATTCAAGAATGGGCCAGTGCAAGGCGACTTTAGCGGAGGATGAAGCCTATTAGCATGGTTCACTATCTGAAGAAAATACAACAAAAAATCATCCATTAGATGGTGGAGGTATTCCAATTATCTGGCTATTAAATGAATCCTCTATTCTACTATCACAACAAAAATGAATTTGAAAAGATAGACATATTCAGATATGCCAAAAAATATGTAGCTTGGAGACTGAATGCTACACAGTTCTTAGATTGTAAGGTCAACTTTTTCACAGTCCTTTTATCAGCTATGCTTGCTTTAAACTTCGGTAGAAGTACCAAAGTGTGGACGGAACAGGTAATGCCTAACCAAACTGGGGCCCCGTTCGCTTGGCTGAATTTGGCTGAAAAAACAAGCCAAAACATTGTTCCGGCTGAATTGTTATAAGAGGAAAACATTGTTCCAGCTGAAAAAAGAAGCCGAACAAGCCAGATTTTAAGACAAGCGAACGGGGCTATAACTATGTTGATCTAACTTAATTCTTTTGTAGTTCATAGATGAATTTCAGAAGCCCTAATTTTGTTGTGGATGGCTCAACCTCATCAAGCTATAAATAGTTCACCGAGTCGCATTTTATCTATAGAAAAGTTTAGCTTGCCTCACTTCACTACCTTCTCTCATTTCCTGCAACAGGAAGACGCAATCTAGAGAAAGCCAGAAAGGCATACCATTTTTCATTACCTTACAAGTACTTACCGGTAATTCTCTAAAGAATCCTTAATATGAACACATACAGGTAGGAATTTGGAGCAACATAGTTGAACTATGGTGAGCTGTAAATGTGTTATTTGCCCCATGTGCATTCAAGAATCCACAAATCAATTGATGAAACCTCATTTTTTTTTGCAAACATGAATATATGTTGAGATTGGCTCTGATATAATTAACATGATGCTTAATTCTGAATTTAAACAACTGTCCAGAAAATTGTCTTTCATGCTATAGATACGTGCATACCTGATTTAGGCAATGTGTTCCAAAATTGCATAAAACATGACCTTGTTCATCACTTTGAGCCTGTCAAAGTACCAGTATCACATCAGTCATATACATTTATCACAATTCTTGTCATGTGTCTAAAGAAGCATGTACAAATTATAGCACAAGTCCATGTGCTAATTGAATTTGATAGCTGGTTCTGTAGTTCACTAAAACAAATATTTTAAAAATCATGTCCCTTTTTCCATTTTGGGTGTATGGTTAGGTACATTAGCATATTTACTCACAAACACAAAACCTTCTAAAGATTAAAAGCTTTGAACATAGTTTGCAATATCAAAAATTGGGAAATCAGTAAATAAAAAAACCATGCAATGATCCGTATGTGAGTTTTAGTATTTGATTCTGATTGCCCTTTTTCTCTTTTTTTTTCATAAGCTGGGCAACCACCGTGTAAGGCCAGTCAATTTTGCAGCAACCGATCAAATTCAATATATCTCTATTATATATGCTTTTGCAGAATCGATACTTAAATCAGTCTCCGGAATTCTAGTATGAACCTACAACCTAGTGTAGGCATTCGTGCGGGTTCCTAATTTGACGGGAAGAATTGACTATTGAGTCAATCGATCTAGAGCAGAAGATAGGAACACACCTAAGAATTCTGGAGCAGGTGCAAACAGACCGAGGTCCCGCCGACGGTGGCACGCGGGGAACCAAAGCCGTTAGGGGGCAGCTCGGTAGGGATCTGGTGGGCGGCAAAGGTTTGAGGGTGAAAAAGGGCAAAGCGATCCATTTGGGACCAGCCACGGGCGGCGAGGAGGCAGCCAGCGGTGGTTGCCGACGCTGACTTGAGCAATGGAGGCGCCCCATCATTGTGGGTGGAGAAGCGGGCGGTGGTGGTGGCCGACGCGAACATGTACCGAGAGGCGTGGCGGAGGTGACCCATTCGCTGTTGGGGAAGAAGCGGGCAGTGGTGGTGAATGGGAGGCGGCGGCGTGGGAGAGCGCGAATAGCGAGGTCGAGCTCCGTCGGCGGCGGCGGCGGCACGTCAGGGAGGAAGAGGAGGCAGAGCTTGTCGCGGCAACCTCAATCCGACAAACGACAAGCGGGGAACGGCGAGGTTGATGGCGCACGGAGAGGAGACGGCAACGTGGGCGAGAGAGGGACCGAGAGCGTGATTGGAGGCCACGGTATGTCGAGCGTGATTGAAGGCGGATTTCCAAGGAAAGGGTCGGGGAGCAGGGGTGGCGTGGGATCGCACGGGCCGGCAAAGGACGAAGGTGAGGCGAAATTTTGTCGTACAAAAAAGTATTCACACTTTGTTCTTTTTAGTTGTAGGAGACTAGAAGGATTCCCACGTGTTGCTACGGGTATCACAAAGGAATACAGATGGATTTGATCGTTAACAATTGAGAATTAGGAGTGTATGATGCCGGTAGTGCAGGAACATGATATAATATTGATGTATTAGCATAACTCTGAAAGTGAAGTAAAACTGCACGGAAACATTTAAATTAATTAAAGTCTGAACTCTGCGTGTGTAAATTGATGCGGCTTCTTTTTTTCATCTTCTATTGAAAGCCAGGTGAGAATACGGAGGTGCAGGTGGAGGTGGATGCCATTAATTGTTGTGGTTTTTTTTCGTCCCCTATTGAACAGTGGTCCAGGTGGTGGATGATTAAGGGATGGATTTGATTCCTGAGTATGATCGGATGGATCATATGAGACGATGGCCCGTTCGCTTTGCTGAAAAAATAAATTAAAATACTGTTCCGGCTGATTTGTTGTGAGAGAAAAATACTGTTCCGGTTAAAAAAACAAGCTGAAAAAAACGGATTATAAGATAAGCGAACATGACCGATGACGTGGAGCGCTATGGAATGGGATAATTCTTTAGTAGATTTTTGTTTTATAAGAGTACTATTGGATATGATAGGATTCGTATATAGTAATTACATAGTAATTGATCATCTTGCACCGATTAAATCATAATTTGGTCATGATCAAATAATAAATCAGCCTGTTCGTTTTGGCTGAATTGACCTATACGTCCTGTTTGAAAGTACTGCTGGCTGGTTTGGTGTGAAAATTCAAGCCATGGATTATAAGCCAAATACAAACGAATAAGCCAAAACGAACAGGGTGATGAAGAATTATTTAAACAAGAAACGAAGGTAAAATCACATAACTTTTTGGGCCCAGGCCCGTACGGCCTGCAGGCCCATTGCCCACCCTCTTCTTTTTCTAACATAGGCCTTATTTAGATTGGGGTTATGAATCAGTATTTCAGCACTGTAACACTTTCGTTTGTATTTGACAATTATTATCCAATCATGGCCTAACTAGGCTCAAAATATTCGTCTCGTAATTTACAATCAAACTGTGTAATTAGTTATTTTTTTTATCTACATTTAATACTCTATGCATGTGTCAAAGATTTAATGTGATGGAGAGAGAGTGAAAAAACTTGCAATCTACACAAGGCCATAACCGCATCTTCCACTCAGAAAAAAACACATCTCCAATCCGCTCGCACAAGCCGCCGCCGCCGCGTGCTGCGCTCGCACCGCCCTTGCGCTGCCACTCGCCGTCTCCCACACCGCACTCGGGCTCTCCCACGCCGCCGCTCTCCCACGCTGCCGCTCTGCCCGCACAGCTCAAGTGCCCGCGTCACCGCCCGCATGCTTCGGTGAAACACCGCGCCAGCGTTAGCGTCACCTCTACCTAACCGAGCGAGGGGTCGAGGACTCGAGGGCACCAATGTATTTGCTTCCGTGGCAGTCAGGCGGAGCCGCAAGAAGCATCGAATCGTAGCTCCTTCTCTCTAGTGCAAAAGGGCTCCGGCTCTATCGATGGCTCTTTCGGTGAAGCTATTTCTGGGCCCGTGTTTAGTTGGATGAAAATTAGAAATTTGGCTATCCGTAGCAATTTCGTTTTTATTTGGCAATTATTGTTCAATCATAGACTAATTAGGCTTAAAACGTTTGTCTCGCAATTTTCAATCAAACTGTGCAATTATTTTTTTTCGTCTACATATTTAATGCTCCATACACGTATCGTCAAGATTCGATGTGATAGGTACTGTAACACTTTTTTGCAAAAACTTTTCGCGAAATAAACAAGGGCGTAGCCCGTTTGGCAGCGCCGCGCGTGAAGCAGCACTAGGCGCGCCCGCCCACAGTCCGCTTCACTTCATTCCGAGCCGAGACAAGACGCGAAAAAAAGAGAGGAAAAATTCAAAACCCTCGTCTCCGGCGGCGGCGGGCGGCGCCATGAGCTTGTTTGCGGGTGTCAGCGGCGGCGCGGCGGACGCGGCGTCCGGGGTCGGCACAGGAAGGGCGCTCCTGGAGCTGACGCCGCACAAGATGGCGGTGTGCCAGCTCGTGCAGGTCTTCGCGCCGCCGGCGCAGGCCGGGGGCGACGTCGTGCCGCCCTTCCCCTTCGAGTCCCTCGCCCACCACAACCGCCTCGGACTCTTCCTGTTCACGCTCACCCGGGTACGTCCTCGCGCGCTTGCTTCCTTGCTCCCCCCTCGAAAGTCGAGATGCTGCTGCTTGTTATGCCTGGTCTGCCCTGTGCTTGGTACCTGTATTTGGAGATGTGGAGTGAACGCTTTGGATTGGGGCATTAGGGTCTCGAGGATTTAGGCATTGGTCCCTTGATTTTGTTTCCCCCCGTAGCATCTGCACTTGTGCTCAACCCTCTACCTTTAGGCTCAAGCAAAATAATCAAAACAGTGATGTGATGTCTGGTTATGTATAGATGGTCGTCACAGCGTGCACAGTCAGTCAATGTTGCGCTTGATAATGTGGTAGGTACACAGGTCCTCTTAACTCAGTAATTTTGTAGTCATGCGAGGATTTTCTGGAGCCTCCACTGGAAGAATTTTTGAGGCAGCTGAAGGCAGTGGATAATTTGGCTAATGGTTGGTTCTGCGAGCAGCTGACAAGTTCTTTGTCAGCGCTCAACTCACCTGATGACTTGTTCAACTTTTTTGATAAGCTACGAGGTGAGGTTCACATGATGTGGCGATGGATGGATGTTTTTGACTTATTTATGTTTCCATCATAGAGATGCATTCAAATTGACAGCTTGCTCTGGAATGATATTTGTTTTTTGCCAGGTGTGCTCACTGCACCAGAGGGTGCGAGTGCAGAAGACGTATTTTTGGATCCGAATAGTCAACTTGGAGTTTTTCTTCGTTGCTGCATACTTGCCTTCAACTCAATGACCTTTGAGGTGCTAAGAGTAGTAAAAGGCATTTACGATGATCTTTTCATCATGTGTTGGTCCCTTTTTCTTATTTAAGATGCTGATGTTGTTCACTGAAAATTTGTGTAGGGTGTATGCCATCTGTTGGCAGATCTTGTCATGTACTGTAACTCCACTGATGCTTCATATGACTTGGCAGAAGATGAGGACTTCAATAGTGAAATGGGCAACTTGATGGATGCAGACATAGGTTCTCAAGTTGGTATATTTGACAAATTTCATCAGGGTTATGCCTCTGAGCGTCATATGGGGGAGAGTTCTTCAGCTCTAACTCGTGCACCAACGTCAACCTATTATTTTGATGATGGTATACCTGAACCCTGCCATGTTTGCTGCTTTGATTTTGATGGAAGTATTAAATATGCCAAAAAAGAAATGGTATGAAGCACAAAAAAAAAATTCTGGTCAAACTCCAGAATGAAAAGAAAAGTGATGGTCACAACCTGGATGGACTATTTATCTCAGTTTTTTTCCTGACATCTAGTTAGTTTCTTCCTTTTTTGGGCTGTAATATGGATCTTGGGAAGGGTTATCCACTGCCTGAATTTGTACCGATTCTAAGAAACGGTATCTGTTTCAAGTATTTTATTTTGATTCCAAGCTTGACGAGATTACCTCCTGATTTGTTACAACTTTGGCATGAGACACTAGAGAATTGCAGGCTAGCACAGACAGTTTGCCTTGCATCTAGCTGCATTACTGTTCCATCTTACTTTTTTGTCATAATTATATAATTGTTTGGCCTACAGCATTCACTGCCATTGTTTGGTCTACATCATTCACTGCCAGTGCCATGTTTCTCTCTCAAATACCATTGTACTGCTGAAGAAGTGGAGCATTTGCAGCTTATATTTTTTTTGTACAATTTTGATCTTTCGTTTTTTACTCATGCTAGTCAATCGGTATGTATTACTAAATACATTAGGGCATACTGAGTTCTGAAAGTTCCTACATATTGTGGATTCTGAGGGAGGGAATTTTTGGGCAACCATACCTTTTATTTTGCAAAGGAGGCTGATTTGAACACCAAATAGATTAGGGTAATGGTTTTTTGCTTTATAAATCAGCTTTTCTGTACTGTATGTAATATCACTGTGTAGAGTTATTTTGGTTTTATCTGGGCATCAAAGATTTTTTTGGTTGACAGTTATATTTGCATTTCCTTTTTTCTATGCTAGCTAATATTTTTAAAGCGGATGACAACCCAACCTGTCTGAGATCAAGGTGGCAATTAGAGGCATATCTTAACCAACAAGCCGATATTCTTGAGAAGTGAGTATCTGTTCCTACATTTAGTCATAAATAACTAATACTGCCACAAACTTGTTCTACTCCTTTAAAAGGACATGAAAGATAAAACATACTCTTTAGTGACAACTCTATTATTACAGGGATCCCGGCTCAGTGCCTTTGAATTCGTTTAATGCCACTATGACACAGCTTCAAACATTAGCTCCGGAGCTTCATCGTGTAAGTTATGGCACAGTGAATACACCTTAAATTTTCTAGGAGACTTTGGGGAACTATGAATGTTTCCTAATCATGTGAATTTTTGTATCCATGATTTGCTTGCCAGGTCCAATTCTTGCAGTACTTGAATGCCCTTTGCCATGATGACTATGTTGCTTCACTGGATAATCTTCACCGCTACTTTGATTACAGGTCAGCTGCACTGCCCTTACTGTATGATGGAGTATGTCTCATATTTTAACCATGTTCTCTGTAGTTATGTACAAGTATGCCAGTTATAGGTACCAAATTAAGGAAGTGTTTTAATGTACTACATGGCCTTTCTGTTTGCATTTAAGAATGTTGCTCTTTCTATTTACCTCAATCTCTGTTACTTTCTGTATTAGCGTAAATTGTGATAATATAAGTTACAGGGTCCTGATATTCAGCCTGACCTTGTGCTAGTCTGCTAGATCATGAAAGCACAGGTGTGAGGTGAAACCACCGCAGGACTATTCATTAGATATTGTGACTCTTTTATTTCCTACTAGTTCATTTTTCTCAATAATATTAAACATTTTGGTGGCCTTGCTAGCTAAATCCTCCAGTATTTTTCTCTTCAAGTTAAGTGTTTGTCATAATGACAAGTTTTGTATGAACTTTTGTTGGAAACATATGCACCTCTTGTTAAGCATGTTCTTATTTGGTTATTCTATCTGGTTGATGCAGTGCAGGGATGCAAGGACTTTTTGGTCGTTCTGTGTCTCAGGTGCAAGATATTGTTGTTGGAAAGTATGAGAGTGCTCTGCTATGCTTAGGCAACTTGCATTGTTACTTTGGACATCCTAAGAAAGCCCTAGAGGTAGTGTAGTTTATTTAGTTTTCTTGTTTTGTACTATTTGACCATCACTTTCTAGACCTACTTGTTTCATTGCACATTGTTTATGTTCTGCTTGGTTGCTTTTTACCAGGCATTTGCAGAAGCAGTCCGTGTTTCTCAAATGGTAAGTTACTGATTTGTTATCTTTTTGAAATATGATTGCATCCAATATTTGTATGACACTTGAAGTTAAGTTTGTATTGAACCACTAATGGTTTATGAGGAAGGCGTAATTTTGCTATTGCTAAGATGATTCTGGCAGAGTGTTTTGGATTTTCCTATAGTTCAGCCAGATTTTTCCTCACAAAATTATATTTTTAATCTCCATGTTTATTTTTAAATTTGCATAACAAATTTCTTTAAATAAAATAATGTCACCTGATAGCATGATAAAATCTCATCAGTTTTCCAGAAATTTGACACTCCTTGTCCCCAACATGTTGTGATAGTAGCATAACTTTGAAAATACATTCCTTGTCATCGAGTTTTCAGTTTTGTCCTATCCGTTTCTTAACCTAAATGTGTATTCCCACCTGTATGATTCCTGGACCTAGAATTGCCAAGGTGACCTGATGGATCTCTATAAGTTTTTAATCTAATTGCCTCTTGTGCAAGCCCCTTGGTTCATTAGATTCTGGTTTTCCTAATGTTGAGATCCCAAAAATTAGGGATACTTGGTATAAGATCTTGTGCATATTTTTGAACAAAAGTGAAGTGTATTTTATTTCCCAAAAATATTAAATGTTTACACAGACTAACAGGTGGTCTTCAATTGTGTTAACAGATTCTAGCATTTTGTTTTTTCAGAATAATGATGATTCATGCCTTGCCTATGTATTAGGAGCCATTTCCAATCTATTATCAAAGATAGGCATCTCAAACACAGTTGGAATAATCAGTTCTCCATATTCACTTGGGACCAATATTGGACTGGGCACGCCATTATCCATTCAACAACAGTTACTTGTTCTTTTAAAGCGGTCACTCAAGAGAGCTGATGCATTGAAACTTGCAAGTTTACTATCCTTTGATCACCTTTCGCTGGCAAAATTTGATCTGAAGGTATGATATCTATTCTTTTTTCTTCTTAGTATAATGATACACAACTCTGCTGTGTGCTTGAGGGGAAAAAATTCTGCTACTAGTATTTGCTATTTATTACTGTTTGACATTAGGATTTAAGAAGATCTCTTTACCTAGTCATGTTCAAATTTCTCTGCTTATCCTCCCATGCAGATCTCCTGTCATAGTTATGTCAACATTTGAACATGATGCACAGTGATCATTGCATTTATATTACTGTTACTATGGCATCTGTCACTTTGATCTTGAAAAGACTAGATGTGACTTAAGAACAGACTCATGTGCTTCAACTCAGAGCATCCTTGTTTATGAACCTTTTCTTGGTTTGTCAGCATGTCCAAAGGCCACTAGTCTCTTTTGGCCCTAATGCATCTACAAAGCTTAGAACATGTCCTGCAGATGTCATTAAGGTATGCTGCATTTACTCCAAAACATTTTATGCTCATCCTTCAGAGCAGCTGTATAAGTTTGCTTCTATATTAAAGTATTCATAGTTTCTCTTGCTTCTTTTTTGGCAGAATTTAAGATTAGGTTCCCTTGTGTTGACTGACTTTGGAGCAGATGTTCTATCTACTTCAAATGATAATGGTAGTTTTAGCACTTCATGGCTTAGGAATCTATCCGCCGCTTCTGATTCATGGCGTAGAAGTTCTAAGAACACCAAGAAATTACATATTAATGACTTCGACGATTTCCATTATCATGCACAACCAAGTCCAGTACCTGCACCAATATTGCAATTAGCTGGCTCAGCATATTTGCTGAGAGCCACCGCTTGGGAGCACTATGGGAGGTACATATCTATTTTCTGTGAATGTCAGGGTTCAGTTTTCATAGTGGTTTGTCATACCGAATTTTCCTGCTTGTACAGTGTTGTATTATGGAAAAAGGGTGGGTTAGATAAGCTCCAAACAAGTGTCTTGCAACTAAGAAAGAGCAGATACTTGACGAACAATTTAAAAGCGTTCGACTCATTGTGGGGACTGTTGATTCATATTTTATCTGGTACCAGGAATTATCAGTCTTAAGTCTATTTATATTAGAAACAACAGGGTCTGTACATCATTGTTTGTTCTATAGTTTTATCATCTATAAAAACAAGACCTTTTATGATCCTGGTGTTGATAGGATTTCGGATCCTACCGGCGAATGGTCGGAGGTTGTAAGGGTGAGAGATCGGGGGACGAGCTCGGCGACGGCTCTGGGGCGCCGTCCTTGCAGCTGATCGCAACGAAGAGCGAGGAACGCGACGAAGGCGCTACAGTATCGCGGTACTGTTCACGGGAGAGAGAGAGAACTCGGCGGCTAGGGTTTCTCCCGGCTCCCTTCAGGAAGCCGGAAACAATAATATGTTTCTGCTTACCAAATTAGTCCCTGATCACAAGTATTTATCTCGTCTATTGAAATATGAAAATAACCCCCTGATTCTATAGAAATTATCTAGACTTAGCCACTAATACCCTTTCGCCGGCTATACTGCATGCCGGTCATAACAGGTGTTCTGTTGCTTTAATGCACCCCCCTTATCCTCATGTCTGTCTTGTTTACTGCCAAATTGTCAGCAATTCTTTTAGCTGCCTTTTTATCGTTGTTTTATGTCCTTATCGAATCATATCTTAAAGTGGAGTTTAATTCTACCGGTACCATTTCAAGAAAATTAATATTTCCATATTTTGTCAACCCTCTTCACAGTGCTCCAATGGTACGGATGAATGCTCTGGTTTATGCAACCTGCTTTGCGGATGCTGCAAGGTGGGAATGTGCTAAATACCTAAATTTAGTGTCTTTTCAATAACTTTACTGCTTTTTTATATAATTACGCTGCAACTATTCTTTAACTATTTCACACAGTTTTTAACTTTTTAAATGAAAACTCTGATGCTTTGTGAACCTGGATTTGTGATGCTATTGTATTTTCTGTTACAGTTCATCAGAGTTATCACTAGCATATGTGAAGCTAATTCAACAACTGGCGGTGTTCAAAGGATATTCAGGTTAGTTCCTATAATGCAACCACATATGTGCCATAGCCCATAGGCTGTGTGCCTGTGTAGTGTCCCAAGAGCTCTGTATTTATTGACCTTTTCTTATGGCCTTCTGTTATGTGATTGATCTGCAGCTGCATTCTGTGCTCTAAAGCTTGCTGAAAAGAAGTTCCCATCCTCAACAAGTTTGCACATCCAGCTTCTAGGAATGCAGATTCTACATGAGCGCGCACTTCATCGGTACAAAACTGTTTCTACACTTCATTTTGTGGTTGCATTTTGCTTCCATAATCTAACGTGCTATTATTTGTGTAAAATTGATCTACTTAGAGGGCATCTAAAAGTCGCGCAACAAATCTGTGATGAGTTTGGGGTGTTGTCATCTTCCGTTTCTGGAGTAGACATTGAGCTAAAGACAGAATTTAGTGTACGACGTGCTCGCACTCTCCTTGCTGCAAAACAGTTTAGCCAGGTTGTGCACTGCCTTGCTTATATTTACACAAGAAGTATGCATTTCATCTTATTTGTTTACCATTCATTAAGAAAAAAATTGAAATAATGCATTTTCCTTTTACATATTTAACTTGCAAGCACATTGCATGGAAGATATCTCCCCCTTCCCTTAGGTTTTACAGGGGTCAGGGCCCTTGCTAATTCTGAGTACACTCTCCATCATACCAGTACATGAACTGACAGAATAAGATCTGTTTATGACACTTGACTTTTTTTCACACAGGCCGCAGCTGTGGCCAGTTCTCTTTTCTCTACGTGCTACAAGTACAACATGCAGGTTGAGAATGCAAGTATTCTTTTATTACTTGCTGAAATACATAAAGTAAGTCATCATTTTTTTAAAACGAGAACCTGGTAAAATACTGCAATTCTGCACAGAGCAAGCTAACACTTTTTTTAATTCTAATTCTCCCAGAAATCTGACAATGCAGTCCTTGCGCTTCCTTGTGCGTTAGCCAGCCAATCATTCTGCAAATCATTCAACTTGGATCTGCTTGAAGCCTCAGCTACACTTACTCTTGCTGAGTTGTGGCTGGCTCTTGGATCAAGCCATGCAAAGAAGGCACTGAGTCTTGTCTACCAGAGCCTTCCCATGATTCTTGGTCATGGTGGTCTTGAGCTACGCGCTCGAGCTCACATTATTTTAGCAAAGTGTCATTTATCCGATCCAAAATTCTCAGGTACTTTCAATACTTCGTGTTACATTATGTGGATAATCTCATATTGATCTGCTCGATACATACACCTAGATGCTAAACGCTTCCCGAAACAATGGACGTGGTTCTTTCTTTTGTTACTTCTTCCCTTTACTGTCTTATTATTGCAGTTCTCGAAGATCCTGAAGCTGTTCTAGATCCTCTGAACCAAGCCACTGAAGACCTGCAAGCATTAGAGGTGAGCTGAGGAACCCAGCTTGTGCTCTTTACCCCTTGTCTGACTCGCTAGATGTTGCTTAGAAACTGACATCCTGTGCGGCTGTGCCGCTGTGCTAATTGCATAAAGGCTTGTGACATCAGATACACTAAATCCTGTGTCATATGCAGTACCACGAGATGGCAGCAGAGGCGTACTATCTGAAGGCAATGGCATACAACCATCTCGGCAAGCTTGATGAGAGGGAGGAAGCCGCGGCTCGTTTCAAGGATCACGTCACTGCCCTTGAGAACCCGCAGAACGAAGAGGACTCGCTTGCGTACTGAGACCCAAGACCAGGCTCCATGAAACAATTGTGAAATCAAGAGTTTTTTTCTATCATGCCATTACAAATTTTTTTTATAATCAGCCTATCCCAACTTGCTTGGGACTGAAAGGTTACGTTGATGTTGTCGTTGATTACAATTTTCGAAGTTTTGAGATCTTCGTCTACTTGCCCCACTGTCAGAGGCTAGCGAGGGCGTGGTGGCCTTTTGGATCCGCATGGTGGCAGGCTACAATGATATACATTGAGGCGAATGGCGTTTCGTGCCACGTGGAGGCACTGGGGGCGGACCGGCGGAGGCGGAAGGGGCTAGTGGTGGTCGGTGGAGACCTGGAATTGGGGAGCAGGGCTAGTAGCGTGAAGACGGCGGCAGCAGTGCACTCTTGAACTCAGGCCCCGTTCAGGGCAAAAAAGTAGCGTGAAGATTTATCGCGGACGGCATGCAGCTTAAACTCTGTAGATGAAAAAACTAATTACACAGTCGAGAAAGAGAAACTTTTGAACCTAATTAGTCCATAATTAGACACTAAGTTGCTAAAATTTTTTGAACACCTCAGTAGAGTTCCGAGTTGCTTTTGCACCTGTCGTTAGTGAATTCAAGAGAGAGTAGCAGTGTTGATAATGTGTTTGAACGTAAACAGAACAACAACAGAAAAATAGAATGATTGAGCTGAATTTTCCATTGACTGATGTTGGATATTTATACATGGTGAATAGACACCTAGAACGAATACATATGTTCATTGATTACATGGGACGTTATATTAAACAGATTATTAAATTTAATGCTTAGTGACTAATCTATGGAGTAGCTAGCTAAAATTAGTCCTAGCACATCCAAACAGGAAGGACTAATAGGTGGCTAATTTTTGAAACAAGGCTTCAACCAATTGTTAGCCAGTTTAGGCTAAATGTGATCAAACAAACCTCTACGGGGTTCAAACAGAATACAGACAGTTGAAGGCCAAATAGAGACGAAGCGACTTCTTATATCTGGAATGGAAGAAGTATTTTTCTTTCCGCTCAGAAACCAACATGTGTTACATTTCAAATTGAGAACAAATCTAACCTGTGCACCTAAAGTAGACACATTTCAAATTAAGAACAAATCTAACCTGTGCACCTCAAGTAGACGGTTGATCAAATAAACACATTCGATTTCGACATGCATTTTCTGCATCACTACCAGAACAGCAACAAAAGTAAGGATGAACATAATGCCATAGCCATAGGAATGAATAATAGCTCGTATAGTGGAAAGTCGCATGCAGCTCGCCAAAATAAAAAAAACCCAGGTATGCCAGTGACTTGTGAGACCATACAGTACAACAAACTTGGTTAGCATACAACAATCTTCTCTGCAGGATAGCTCAGTTCAATAGCACAAGGAAACAACCAGAGAATGTGTATAACAAACAAAAATAATTCCTACTTCAGATATTTCAGCTTATATAAACAAAAATAATTCCTACTTCAGATATTTCATCAGTTGTGACGCGACGTATTCCAAGCCATTCTGTCAAAGTATTTTCAATAATCAGTGGCATCATACACAATGAAAAAAAAACTAAAAGAACAGTCATCAGTCCAAACCTTTCAAAATAACCACTGAACAGAAAGTACCATCATCGATATTGTACAGAAGAATCTACAAATAACATGCACACCCATAAGACGAGGAAAAAAAATAGCGTTGAATAGAAAACAAAAATCTGCACTCTTAATATAGAGAAGTCTCTCAAAGACCAAGCAAAAGAAGCTACAGCAGCCATACGATTTAACATTAAGTGGCCAAGTAGGTATCCAGTAGCAACCTCAAGTAACATACTAGGCAGAACCCCTCACAGCATTTAACTGTATCAAGATATAGAGGAAAGTATGCCGTTCGCATAACACAAATGATTGCACTTAGCATACAAAAGAAAATAATATGAAGGTATGGCAGCAAGATCCAGCAAAAAGGTTATCCATGACAGCTGCTGATGTATAGTTGTAAGCTTAACCTGCCACTACATTGAGAACCAAAAGACTCATTTACTCATTTCTTTCTCCCACCACGCTCCCTCAGTGTTAGATTGATCACCACTCCAGGACCCACATTGTAGTAAGCAAGAGTAAGGTTGTCTTTGAGGAAACTAGTCCTCACACTCAGCTTCTGCTTATTAGCAGGGAGCTGCAACTCTCCAGCAATCTGCTCCTTCAGACTACCAATTGTGTCTGACAGTGATTGAACAGGAATCTGCAAAACTTGGCCTCGCAAGTTCCCTTCATCGAGGTTGGGTACAGATACAGAGATGCTAGCAGGACCCTGCACACAACAGATTATATTAGCTTGCCACAACAAAAATACCTAGAAGCATGAAAACTGAAAAGTAAGGAAGAAAGACTAAATAAAAATGGACTCCCAGAGCCATTACCGGATGCTGAGCAAGGAACTGCTCTGCTGGGATAAGAGAAGCATCATCTGTTCTCGGCCTCTTAGGTTCTGGTTCATCAGGTGGAGGCGGTTGCTCTTCAGCAGGAGGCTGTGGAGGCAGAGGCGGTGCTGGAGGCTGAGGGATTCCAATGGGATTGACCATGGTTGGCATGTGCGATGATGGGGGCATAGCAAACGTGCGTGGTGGACCAGGCATAAACTGAGTTTGGCCAGGAGGCGGAGGAATGTTGGTCGGCATATGAACCATTTGACCTGGCATCCTAACCATCGGTGGCTGCCCAGGTATCTGCTGTGGAGGCAGATGCATGTGAGGCATCATCTGTGGAACACCAGGCATATGAGGACCTGGGGGTGGAACAGAGTATGGTGCTGGTGGAGCGATAAAACGAGGAACATTAACAAGAGGAAGTGGCTGAGGAGGTCGGGGCAATGGCATGCCAGGTCGGACAAGTGGAGCTGGACCAGGAACATTTGAAGCATCAAACTGTTCCTCGCCACCCTGAGGCTGAGATAATGCATGAGTAGCCGTGCGACCAATGCTACCAGAATGACCATCCCAAATAACCTGCTTTGGCTGCTCATCCTTTTTCTTCTCAATTTCTGCCTTGACGGCGTTAGACACCTCCTCCTCAGTGGTCCCAAAAATATCAGGGCGAGTACGAGCAAGGCCAACAATGTTCCGTGAAATTTCATCATCAGGTGCAAGGGTAGTCTCCTTGATCTTGGCCAACATCCTCTCTTTCTGCTCCTTGTACTTAGGGTCAATGAGTGAGATGCGCATGTGTTCCTCCATCTCGCTGATGGGAATGAGCTCCCCAGTTATCGGCGAGACAACAAACTTGGTTGGGTCTCTCTCCGCAGGAATCCTCTCCTCAGGCCTCTTGTAGTTCTTGACAATCCTCATAGGTGCGTCGTCATCACCAGCCACATTAACTTGCGCTCCTCCATCATTCTCCTCAAGCTGTGCTGCCCGCATTCCTTCCTCGACAAGTTGCATCTCCTCTTCATCCATGTCCATCTCAACCTCCTTAGCAGGTTCAGCCAAATCCATCGCTTCCTCCTTTCCCAAGTTCTCCATCCTCTTCTGGCGCTTCAACTCCTCCAGTGTAAGTGGCACAGGAAGCCCCTCGTACTCATCATCCGCAAATTCAATGGTCTCCACAACAACAAAATCATGCCAGTCTATCATTGACATCTGCATCCGTTCCTGCTCAATCTCATCCTCTGCCTGCTGCCGTGCCTGCTCCTGCGACCGATCCCACTCCAGCCGGTTCAGGCATCTCTCCAAAACTGTAGTCAGGTCCTTTGACCCCTCCCTCAGCTCTTTCAGCAGTGCAGGCACCCCCTCTGCTGGCCTCAGCACCCTGGAGTAGGCATCTGTGAGCGCCGTAAAGAAGGGGAACATGCTGTGCGTGGGCCGGATGAAGTGGAACTGCATGTTGTTGCTCTCGCGCTGCGCCAGGCTCGTCAGGAAGTTCTTCCCGTTCCGCGCCACAAACTGGGCGGTCAGCTTGATGATGTCCAGCTCCTCCCCTGTGATACCCTCGGGCAGCCGCACCGTGTACAGCTCCGCCTTGGGTGGCACCAGCACCTTGGGCGGCGGTGCCATGCGGAAGGGAGCGGAGTGGTCGGCCTTCGCGTCCGCAGCGGCGCCATCTGCGGGTGCGGCGGCGGTGGCGCCGTCGACCGCGGCCGACACTGGCGCTTCGGCGGGAGCCCCGTCAGTCTCGGCGCCCGAGGGGGCATCCGTGCCGGGCGGCGCAGCGGATATCTCGGAAACACGGTGCTGGTAGTAGCCGTGGTAGGGATCCGAGGGCTGGAGGAAGTTGAATTTGGCGTTGCCCTGGTTGTGGGAGATGATGCGGCGCTCGAACTCGGGCCCGTTCTTGGCGACGAAGGTAGCCGTCTTCTCGATGATGACGCGGATGTCGGGCGGAGGGTGGATGATGCCGATGGGGTTCGCATGGGTGGCCACCGTCGCCCTGCGGTCCGTCTTCGCGCCGGGTGGGGGAGGCGGCGCCTGCTGCAGCTGTTGGTCGTCGCCGCCGCCGCCGCCGCTGTTGCCCTCCGGTGCGGGGAGGGTCAGGATGGTGGTGCCCATGGCGGCGGCCATGGGGGTTAGGGTTTCGGCGGGTTTAGATCGGAACGGAAGGAGGGAGAGCTCGAGTCGAGAGACCCCGCGACTCGTGGGACGGAGGCAGCGACGGGATCATGGGAGGCGGATTAGTATATTTGGACCGGATTTTGGTTCGAGTCGGTTCGATTTCTTGTGCGATACCGACATGCTGTTCCTTGATTTTTTTTTTTAACAAAGTGTCCCCCTTCCTTATTCATCAGGATAACCAGTAGAGCAGTTGAGCTTGAGCCTGGACATATTTGGGCTTTCCCTTCTTCTTGTATTGTATAAAAAAATAAAAATAGGAAAAACCATTTGGGCTTTTTTCTTTACCCTGTTTTGATATTCACTTTTTCCATACGGTAATCTATATCTCCTCTCCTACAACTAAAAAGAACAAAGCGTGGATATTTTTTTGTGCGACATTCCAACGTGGGTCCATCGTCCT